AAAAAAAAAAAAAAAAAAAAAAAACGGGGAAATGTAGTACAGGCCGAGCAGGCCTTATCCAGAATGCTTGGAATCAGAAATGTTTCAGGTTTGAGTTTTTCAGCTTTTGGAAAATTTGCAGACTTTAAGGAGGTGAAACTCTCTAATCTGAAAAGCTGAATTCCAAAATGTTCCAAAATCTCAAACTCTGAACTCTGTTCTGATGCTTACAAAGTTTCAGATTCTGAAGGATTTCAGATTAGGAATCTCCAACCAGTATCTCAGTGCTCCCTGAACATAGCCTGGGAGGAGCACCTTGGAATGTTTAAGCCACTAACAAATGTTTCTTAGCCCTATGGACCCTTGATGGCTTGTTATACAGTGTTGAAGGGCATTCTGTTGAGGTTTTCCTGGATAAATTGATAAAACGTGAACCACTATTCTCTGAAGGTCCTCTGGCCAGTATTTTCAGGAATGGAGTCAGGTGACCGGGGAAACTTCAAGCTCTCCAGAGATCTGAAAGACACCACAGTTCTAAACAACAAATGCTACTGGGATAAACGTCCAAGCAGAAAACCAGGCCTCTCACCTTTAAAATCACACTGTCAAAACCAAAATGTAACCCAAGGGCTCTCTGAAACATAATTATGAAAATCTCCCAGTTTATGAAAAAAATGAATAGAGAAAAATGAAAATTAAAGAGTCAAGAGAAAACATAAAAGATGGTGCAAGTAACTCAGGAGACTCTAGTATGAATTCTTAGAAGAGAACAGTGAAGACAGAAGAGATAATCTAGGTCCTCACATAAAACAATCAAGAATGGGAAAACAGTGCAAAGGAGAAGCCACGCTGATCTGCAGTGTCATCCATCCGCACCTGGTGCAGGAGGCCTGGCCAGGCCCTAACACCACACACAGCTGCCACACCGGGATAAACATGCACTCTGTAATCCAGGAAGTGCTTATTTTCCAACATTCACAATCAACCTCCAGACACAAAGGAGTCCTCCTTCCTCTGTCCTGTAACCGGGTAAGGAGCGCACAGTGCATGGGCGGGGGTCTGCAAGTGGTGGTGAAACCCTGGAGGGAACCAGGTCACCTTTCCTAGCGTCAGCAGAGGGTGTCTGCTGCAGCAAACAGTTCAAAGAAATTAAAAAGTTTCAAAGCTTAGTGACAGGAGTCTTAATCATCTGGTTTTCTATAGCAACTAAGGACAGAAGCGGACAGTGCTGCAAAGAGGCTGTGACCCTGGGGCATCTTCATTTGTGAGAATCACCAACCTGTCCCCCAAACCTCACTTTCTCAGTGCATGCTCCATTGATAAGACACCAGGTGCCTCTCGGCAGCTGGCACAAGCGGTCAGGTTCCACTCCAAGCCTCCCTGTGTGCTGATTCTACCCCAGTGTGTGCCAATTCTCCCACCAAGGGTCCAGGATCATTGTGGACAAGCTTTGTAACAGAAGACAGCGACCAGCAAGACAAACTGGAGACAGGTTCCCACACAAACACCACACAGTACCTGTATCTGGTTGTCTGGGTTTCTTGGGAGTTTCCATTCCATTCTCTTCCATCTTCCTCTTTGCACAGTCCTGACAAGCATTTCCTGAAAGGCAACAACTTATTAAAAAGCTGCTCTATTCTAGAAACCACCCCAAGGGCCCATTTCTAAATCCTACCTCCTTGAAGCACCAGCAAATTATCCCTGCCATCCCCTACAGGTTGTAACCATGGAGTAACTGCTTTAAAAAAACAAATTATTTTGAGCCACTGCCTTCCCATGGAAGTAGGGTGGAGAGGGTAAGCCAAGCGCAGTTGCTCCAATTCCCGAGCTGAACCACACACACATGTGCATGGAGACGCTGTCCACAGACTGAGCGGGCTACAGCCCCTCCCAATCCCTGGCACAGGACCTGGAGACACCTGCTGCCCAGTGTCCCCAAGAGACATTGGGGCTGCTGAGTCTTCATTTATGAATAGGCAAGGGTCGAGCCCCAAGAACATTCCCATTTCAAGCAAGCACAACTAGAAGATGTTTCCAGGGAAGCTTGGACCCTTGCAATTTGGATATTCAAAGGGCAGGTCACCCGAGGTTCCCGATCCTTGCATGGAATGGCCCAAGCTTAACGGAGCCTCGTTCCAGGTCCCCAGACTCTGGGTTCTAGGACGGGACTTATTGTCAGGTGTGTCACCAAGCCATGCTTCCCCAGGAAGGGCAGATGCGGGTCCCTCTGCTGTGCTTTGCGGTGCGTCCTCTCTAGCAGGGCTGTTCAGTGCAGGCTTCTTATCTAATATGACAAACACTTTCACAATTTTACAAGTAGGGGCAGGAAGATAAGGGAATGTGGAGGCAAAACAGGCTGACAAAAATAGAGATCTCCTTACCCAGTAACGTGGTGCTGTCCACTCGCTCGGCGTCTGGGAAGAAAGAAAAGTCAGCAGAACCGAGACTGGTGCAGCAGTGCTCCCTCTCTTCTTCCTCCCTCCTCCTCCTCCTCCAGCTAGCGGGGACCATGGTGAGGCCACGGTGGCGTCAGCTGTAGCACGCTCTCCCGTGGCACCCTGGACTGTCCACCTCGAAGGGCTGGGGCCAGGTGGCACACAGGAGCACCACGCCGTACCCACACCACAAGCATCACCGTCACGGTCACTGGGTGTTCCCTGGCAGGAGAGGCGCTACACTACACGGCAACAGACGGAAACTCCCGGTGGCCTTCCGGTTCTATACAGCTTTAGAAAGCACTCAGCTGCTGGGGCCTGGAAGAGGTCTCAGGGAGGGAACAGAGGGGATCCCGGCTACGGGTGTGGAGGCAGCAGCGGCAGGGGCGAGCAGAGAAGCACTGCACAGCCAGGACCGGGCACACTCAACAGTGCGTCTGCTCTGTGCAGGGCCTGCGCACCCGTGGGCCAAGATCTCCCCCTCCTCAGCTTGTCTCTCCACCTCTAAGTCATCATCTGGCTGCTGCTACTAACAGAAACCCGGCAAGGGCAAGGGCGAGGACGTGACACACAGGAGCTCAGCAAGCAGGGCTCCCTTTTCCACCCCAGGAGGATCTGACAACTGCCCCCCTGGAAACTCAGGCAACGGAAATCAGCTCTGTGCTGATCGTTAGCCACGGAGAAGCAGCTGCCAGCAGTAAAACCAGTGTGCATGCTCGCCGTCCTGTCCCAGCTGATCTCCAGCTCACCTCCTCCATCCAGTTTCCTGTTGCCATGAAAGAACAGGCAGGACAACTTTCCATGCTGGCTAGCATCCATGTTTGATGACCCCAAACTCAAAAGCCATTAACGCCCTCGTGTCTAGATGCCTGGGTCTACAAAGTATTCCTGGCAAATGAACAGTTCCCAGGGGAAAGGACAGGGAGTTTAATTTGGAACAGGGAAAATGGACAAATCGGAGTCTTCAGAAGACCACTCTGTACTCTGCAAATTGTAATCTTGAAGGTACAGTGACACAAAGTAAAGAGAGGTCTGTGCTTGAAGAGTCACAACGGATAAAGCTGGCCTGGGGCTTCTTTTCTTTGTTAGGGCAACCTGAAACATGAACAAATGTGTCTCACTTTTGTGTGCACAGCTATAAACTTTAAAATTCTGTGCCAGGTGTGGTGGCACACACCCGTAATCCCAGCAGTCGGGAGGCCGAGGCAGGAAGACTGATAGACATTCAAGGCCTGGGCTACACAATGAGATCAAGGGCAGCCTGAACTACACAGCAAGACTCTATCTCAAATGCAATACAAAATTAAATTCTGAATTCTTATTATGCCATGTAGCCCAGCCTTCTAATTTTAAATTACACAGTCACTTGGAAATCAGTAACTACAAGATTTAGGAATTCAGGGTATGTTGCTAACATGTCCAAAAGAAACGAGACAACCAGGACGCTGTGACTCTGAACTTTTTAACTCTGAACTTAAAGTAAAAACAAACTCCATACCAGGACTCCGCTGCTTGCAGATCTGAGTGGCGAGGTCTTGCATGTATCCCGGGAAGAGGTCAAAGCGGTCCCCGTAGGACACGACTTTAATCCCATGCAAAAGCATGTCTGCCTGGTGCTTATAGAAGTGGTCCTCGTTGTCCTTGAGCACCACCATGTAGTGCTCCAAGTCCACCTTGTTTGGTACCGAGTAAAGAAAGAGGGCCTGGAATATCTGGTCACGAAGGGTCTCTCCGCAGCCCACGAACAGAAAGGACTTGGTGCGGTACAGGTTCTGCAGGACTTCCTGTGAGTCGGGAAGGACACGGGGTGATGAGAGGGATGAGAGACTGGGCACTCCTAACCGACACGAAGTCACACGTGTGTGCTTTCAGCGGCAGGGGCCACCCTGAGGAACAGGCTGGACAGGAGTGCACTCTCGCTGCGGCACTCAGGCCCACCCCAAGTAGCAATTTGTGGTGACGGGTCTTGGGGACAAGGGGCCTCTGCCCAACCAAGCCAGATCAGCGGCCCATCGGCAGCCACCTGAATGCCCCTTACTGGGAGGCCAGCCACCTCTAGGGTTACGTAGGACCCTAAGCACTCAGGTGCACCAGGAGGATGTAACACACCCAGCTCGGAGCCTGCACAGCAACACCGGAAACCACACCTGGCTCAGTGATCAGATGGGAACCTGTCCCTGGGGAGGGAAGGACAGGGTTTGGGGAAGGAGGGCAGGACAGTTGAGGAGGGCAGCGACCCTCGGGGTGGCACAGGGACACAGAGCAGAGGGCTCGCTCCAGTGGGCAGGGGACACCACAGATTCAGGCCCACACACGTCTTGGCAAGGCCTCCTACCCTGCCCACTACCCGAGGAGCGCCAAGGAGGCCCACAGGCCCAAGTGAAGAGGTGGGACGGGAGCCTGGGAGGGCCGGACACACGGCTCTGATACCCCCTGTTCTGGGGAGGCAGCAAGAGAGCCTCACACCGGAGTTTTAAAGCCACTTCTGAAAGCTGACGAGCCCGAAAGGCACACTAAGGAGAGGATCTCAGATAGCTGGCTGCCTGCGTGTACAGAGAGGGGTGGTCATACGACACTGAGGGGTGACAGACCCGGGCCCTTATATCACACGCTCCTTCCCTGAGAAACTGTGTACAGAGCACATCCCACACGCCGGCACCTCACCAGGGCAGATATCCAGCCAGAACAGGAGACATGGCCCTGTCCCCACTCACAAGTGGGCCAGCTCCAAGGACCAGGCAGCCATGCAGACTTCAGCCAAAGGGCTGGTGGCCACCAGATTCCCCAGTGGATGTAAGCAGGCCTTAAGGAAGAGGGGCCATACCATGACTTCCGGGTCCTGAGTGACATCTTTGTATCCCGATGGGTCCAGCACCATCCCGCAGGGATCGGTGTATAAGCCGTGGATATGGAGAACTCCGTACTTGATGTGGCCTCTTGCCCACTGCAGGACCTAGCAAAGCCAAGCCAAGATGAAGACACACCGCCTGGTGTTACTTCAAATGCACAGGAAAAGCAAACGTCTAACTCAGCTTCTGCAGCCCATCTTGGAGAGTTGAGAGAGGTCTCCATGCTAAGTATATCTTATATTCCTGGCACAGCACCTACTGAGAACTTGCTGGAGGCCTGCTGTCCCAGGTAGGAGGGCTTGCTGGGAGAGGGGTGGGAACCTCTAAGCTCTACGCTGCCTTTTCATTACTTTTGCTGAAGTGTTCTTTTTACACCAAGGGAAAATAGGTATGGACAGAAAAGTAGTCAACAAATGGCCAACTATATCCATCTCAGTTCAAGGCACAGAGCAAAGCACCTTACAAGACGCACATGTGACCAGGCGTGGTGGTGCACAGCTGTAATCCCAGCACTCGGGAGGCTGAGGCAGGAGGTTCGCTGTGAGTTCGAGACCAGCTACATAGTGAGTTCCAGGTCAGTCTCAACTACATAGTGAGACCCTGTCTCAAAAAACACCAAAAA